TTGGTAGAGGACGCGGCCTTCAGACCTGTTTCCTGCTCCTCCCTCCAGTGTTTGCTGCTGGGCAGGTCTGTCTGAGCGTCGCCTGACGTCTGCGTCTTTAGGTTCCTGCAAACACTGGAGGAGCTCTCAGTAAACGCAGCTCTCTGTAGGTGCCTCTGTGCTCATCGCATTCCTGCAGAAGCTACAAATACATGTGAGGATGAACACGCGTGTTGGCACGATCCCCGGGGAGTTAAAAATACATGCATGTGTTAAACAGTGTGTTTTAATATGGAGGTGAGACATGGAAAACTGTGAGTTCACTGCAGATGGTGAGAGACAGTGAGACAGTGCGGGGACCACAGGTTGATCCAAATACCATCACATCAGGGCCATAAGATCAATACTTTGTTTCTATCCTCTGAGTTCAATATATATATATATATAAACCTTCACAAAATAGAAAAATATGTTTTGACCCACACAAAAAATGCTTTAAACAGATACTGGAAACCACGGTCTCATAATTCTCATTTTGCATTTTGAGCAGTAACAATAATCTTGCACTTTTGACATAAATTATATAAACATCTTTTCCTCTGACTCATATAGCGCGTGACAAATAATAATTCAATAATGCTAGCACCTAAGTAAGGATGTATTAAAGACTGCCCTGCCTTTTTAGGGCGATTTATAGCATTAATACAACGTGACAGCATAGACAACGCTGTATTAGAGACAGGCAACAAAGAGCACTGTTATGCTCTACTTTCACGCTAACATGAATGGATGTTTCTCACTTCCTAAGCACACACAAACACACAAAAACAAAGCGATGCAGCAAATTTATGAAAGACTAATCTCAAGTTGAACTGCAGTTCTTCGCTTGTATAGTCAAAGGAAAATTATAAAGCTGGGAGACAGTTTTGTTTTTATGAAAGTGACAGTGCAGCTCACCCGTTTGGTGCCAGCCAGCGGCTCTTCCGCCCCGCCACGTCGGCAGGCCGGTGGTCTGTGACTGCGCCAAAGAGTAACAGCTGACAAGAGAGTTCTCTGCCTCGGGAGCGACTCTGATGAGCTAAGCTAACACAACTTCACAGACGGGCAAAAAACTACAGAGCACACAAAAACAAACTGTACGTGTGCGTGTGTTTTTCCTCCAATAATTAGAAAACTACACCACAGTTTCAATATAGCATTCTGTTTCAGAATGCGACCGCTGAAGTTAGGCCAGACATAAAATAAATGACGCCAGTCAAAATAGCAGCGAAGTTGCATCTATGTAGGAGTGAATCATTTCAGTTTGTCTGGCTCTTTAGAGGAGCAACACCTCTATTCTGAAGCTCAGTGAAACGAGAGTCCGTACAACAGCTGCTGTTACACGCAAAACCCCACAAAAACAAACAAAACAAAACAGACTAACATAAGTACAACTAGTGATGACGAGGACGATTTATATACATAGTAATTTGCCTACTCGCTCAGCGGCTCGTTGGTCTAGGGGTATGATTCTCGCTTAGGGTGCGAGAGGTCCCGGGTTCAAATCCCGGACGAGCCCTCGCTTTTTCTTACGTTTATATCATCTCTAATATGCACAACACAGAAAATCCAAAGTAAAGGGCTATTGCACGAAATGAGTATGCAGGCTGCAAGGCAGTGTAACATTTTAACAT